ATATATATATATATATATATATATATATATATATGTGTGTGTGTGTGTGTGTGTGTGTGTGTGTGTGTGTGTGTGTGTGTGTGTGTTTGTATATGTATGTGTATATATGTATGTCTGTATATGTATGTATGTATATGTATGTATGTATATGTATGTATATATATGTATGTATGTATATGTATGTATGTATATGTTTATGTATATGTATATGTTTATGTTTATATATATGTTTATATTTATGTTTATGTTTATGTTTATGTTTATGTATATGTATATGTATATGTATATCTATATCTATATCTATATCAATATCTATATATATATCTATATCTATATCTATATCTATCTATCTATCTATCTATCTATCTATATATATGTCTAAATGTAAATTTTGATTACTTCCAGGTGCTAAGCAAAGTACCAGGAGCAACTGTCACCCAACCCACAGCAGCTCCACGTGTGGCCCCAACAGCAGTGTAAAGCTCCACTTGACAGGGAAATCTGTGTATCCAGTGGAAGGACACCTAGAGAACTACTATTAGAAATAAGATATAACTTTCTCCATAGATGTAACAAATTAAACAGCACAGTTTTATCAAGAAATGGTTATTTACAGGATACTAGAGTAATGCCAAATTCATTGATACTGGGTAGTTAATTCACAAAGAAAGAGGCAGTATACATCATATGAATTTTTTGTTTATTCAGTCTTTATTGATGGAAGTTGATTATCTCTTTTTTTTCCAATCTTACAAAAAGACAAAGATGGACTTTTATTTGTGGGAAATCAATTTTGAGATACAGAATAACTTTTTTCTTTTGCATAATGTTTATTTAGAAAAATATTTTTTTCCCCCAATGGTTGGGTATTTTTATTTTCCATTTTTTAGAAACAAAATGATTTATTTTATGATTTGTAGGTTAGATGATGGTAAGGTAATTCTCAGGATCTTGTATAACAAATTAAGTCTAAAGAAAGTTTGTTTATGTTTTCATTGCTCTGTAGAATATCCTCCTATTTCTGAATATGTCACAGCCTGCAGGAGGAGAGACTTCTGAAGGGCAGCAAACTGCATTTGTGGAAAGTAAATGCAGCAGTTGTTGCTCTGTTAGACTGATTTCTTTTTATGTTGCAGGTTTATACATTAGTACAGCATTTTTGTTGTCTTTATAAGTTATTTGTTATTGTTATAACTAAGGTCTCAAAATTTGTTTTGTATCTATGCAGTGGTTGTGCTGTATGGCATTTTTTTTTTACAAGTAGGAGGATACAAATTAAGATGATGGTAGAAATCTGCCACAAAGAATCTTCAATATTTGCATTTGTTTTATATTTTAGTCACTCTGTGTGTAGCTACAGTGATAGCCAAAGTATTTCTTGTAACTATGGCACCTTAACTTGTTTTACAGTTCTAGTCCAAAGGAAATGTAACCTTTCAATAAATGATTATCGTTGAAGGAATATGCAATTAGATCACATTGTGCATTTATATTTTTAAAAGTTTTAAACATTTAAGATATATATATATATCACAAGAATAAAATGAAATTAATTGCAAATATGCTTCATCTAAATACTTTTTGTAGTGGAACTGGTATTGCAAAACGTGCCATTAGATTGTCAGTACACAATCAGTAGTCACAAAAGAGGAAAAGGAAAATAAAATGAAAGCTGCTACAATCATTTTACTTATGATGTGCTACACTAATAGATCTAAGGAACATTTTTTAGGTCACTGCCAGATGTAATGTGCTTTTTAGAGTATTTTCTCATATAGATTTTGTTATATTCTTTTTTTTTCATTTCTAGAGGATTTGGGGATTAGAATCTTAAAAGTTGTCAAAAATTGCCGATGGCTGTCATACTGTTTATTTAAAAAAAGAGAACCAAAACAAATATTTTGGGGTTATACAATTTAGGTATACATGTGAATGAATGATTTTGTAAAACACAATATAATGTTTGTCAGCCACAAGTTCCACATAAATATTTCATCAGAACTAGGAACAGAGTTTGGTCTTTGAAATTATTCATTTTCATTGATAACTTTCTCAGTAATTTGCTATGAGCCCTCTTGAACCATATTTTGTATTTGTTCATTTTTAAAATATCATTATTTACTTCAGAGGCTTTATTTAGTTGTATTAGACTTATGATTCCCAAATCATACACTGTCTAGCTTCATATGTAACAGGTTTATTTTTGCTATCATGTGTTCCCCATATATATTATCTTGAATGTATTATTCTGAAACACATCTACTCTTTTCACTCCACACTTGCATTTTAGTAGGTGAGGTTTCACTCTAGTCTATGCTGATTACATGTACCCAGTACTAAATATTGTTTAATGGAGATATTCAACCATTCTTTTCAGT